TCTTCTCCATTCCACCAAGAAGCATCAGGAGAATGGCTTTCTTGATGTAGTCATGTCCGTGGATACTGGGAGCCAGAGACTTGGACAACAAGTCAAACACGTTTCTCTTCTTGGCAATCTGATTGATATTTCGAATGTCGGTATCCGTAAGCACGGCCTCTGCAATACCTCCACCGCTCTTCGAAGACAACTGGATAATGTTGTTCGCCATGACCACGGTGCGGAACGTCGATGAGCCACTGCCTCCGTTACCGAGGGTACGGTAGATACCCACCAGCTGGATTCTGTCACCAGGCTTGGCGGTGTCGACAAGGTCGTCGTCCAAAATGACATCGACACTTCGGGGCAATTGTCCTGCCGGGGCACGTTCGGGCATTTCTTGGATAGAAATCGACTGGTGGTCGAGATATGTTGAGTAACCGTACTCAGTGATAAGCTAGAAATTTCATCATTAGTCTTAAGTACTTGAATAAGATTGTCCGATTTAGACCTACCGGGTTCTTTTCATCGTCCTCTTGAGGGTACACGTTCAAACTGGTTGCACCGCTGGCACCCATAGTTTGATCCCGATACTTTCTGGCAACAAAACGATCCTTCCTCTCGACGTAATGAACACTCTGGACGACCTTGGGGCGTACCAGAGAGCATTTTGTAACAATACCCTCGAGCGAGACCATGTGGTTCAATTGTTGCGAGCCCAATGTGCGAGGGTTGCAAGAGAATTCTCCAAATGCACCAACATAAGCGCAGTAGTAGTTCTGTTGAGATCGTTAGACATGTGTCTGCTATGAATCATCGACGACCTAATACACACCGCTTCATCGGAAGTTTCTTTAAGTGGTCGACCGGGTAGGGTTTTGACGACCGCCTTCAAGGCTGCGTCAAAGGCTTGTGAATAATCGAACGGCGAAGAGAGCAGCCTACATTAATTAGTCAATGAGCCCATTTACACTGGGTATAGAGGTGTAACTTACCCATCGGCAAGCTCCCGGTTGTGTGCTCTGATTTCATCGATGCTAACCTGTCCAAAATTATCAGCACCACCTCCTGGCAGGGAATTTCGATCCACGCACTGCTAATCGTCGCGCACCCTTGTTCAGCATAACCACAATATCCGCTCGATAACTGTCCCAGTCCGTTAGATGTATATTATAGTATATTGATATTCGATGTCTACGAACCTGCGTGCCCGTGCATCATCTGAAAAAAAGAACTTTATTAGCTCAAAGAACCACAACACATCACCTAGTGAACTTACTTGGATCAAGAAATTCAGTTGCGGCACGCACGCGATCCTGCGCGGCCTCATCGCGTAGTTGTAAACCGTCCATGATATGTGATGCAATATAGTGTGGTGGGAAGGAGGGAGTCGAGGGGGTCTGATTGGAATTTCCCGATTTGCTAAAGTGGAACGCGTGCAACTTTGGAAGTTCACGCGAGGAAGGCGCGTCCCACGGATACCACGTGCTGTGCTGAGTCAGCGGATAAATTTTTCCTGGGCTATATAAGCAGCCATCCCCCCGATCCTTTTCTTCTTCTTCAAGCGACTCTACGTGCGTTCTCCTCCCCCTAACAGTTGGAAACCTTCTGGGTTTTCACACTGGACTTGGTTTTGAACTTTTCCACTGACTTTTCTTCTCCAACAGTTCAAAGAATCACTTTAGAGTAGACGTCCCCTTTCTAAACTCTTTAAAAGAGCCACAGAATCTCCACCCTTGCTGATGACTACATGTCCTCGATGCCCTAAAGTGAAACCTTTTTACTCCCGCCTCGACTGTCACGCGTGCTGTCCGCAGTGTCTGTGTTTCGGTCCAGGGAGTGGTGATGATCTTGACCTGGTCTCGGCGTCTGACTTCGGTCGGTCGGTCCTGGTGGGTGTCGAGGAGGTCTGAAAGGTCCTCTTCCATTCTGGTTGATGGTATGGGGCGCTGTGTGTGGGTTGTCCATTTGATACCATTTATCTCCAATGAAAAATTTTCAATATCCACTTTGATCTCTATCCAACAATAAAATCTCCGTAGCTCTCTTGAATATCCCATGTTCAATACGATGGATTCGCAGTATGTACTCCGACCTGTCCAACAATCCTGACCACACGTACATCTGCGTAAATCTTCGACTTGTATATGGTGATGGATGTTCAACCCAGTATGTGATTTGCCTACGCCGGTCCAATGTACACGCAATAATCAATGGATACTACAGGTAGATTTACATCCAAGAACATGGAGAGCTCGGATTTGAGGCCTGGGGAATATGGCAGAAAAGTGGACAGAGCACGGGCATTGTCCTGGGCATCTTTTTAGGACATCTTTCTGGGTGGACAGGGTGAAATAATATTTGCAGCAAACTTGGGGGGTGTGCCTGGGTATTAAGAAATGCGCGTGATTTGGGGAGTGTATCCTCACGCTACATCTTTTGACTCTACCATTGCAGATCCCGATGTTCATCTCGCGAGACCCCTACGTTTCTGGGATCATATCCGGCCCCAGGATCCATAGCATAGTTCCTAGGCACGCTCTTGATCGGAATCATAGCCCATTGCGCACAGTTATGAAATATAAAATGTAGGAATTGCCTATTTAGGCCGATTTATGCTCATCACTTGGATTTGACGCCAAGAAATGGGCATTTCTTGGCGGGCATTGTCAAGGTCTATATAAAGGGTACCAGCTCGGGGGTTTGTCCAGCTTGGTAAATTACGTTTAAGAGCGCGAAGCCTAACTAATTAGGCTTAGTCCCCGATATTGCAAACCTCTCGAGAGTGGCTACCTCCGAATGAGACGGGAAGTACTCAGCTACGCGCTTCTATAAGAGCTGGGAAACGTATAAGGTGTGATGATCTATATGAGTATTATTAGCTGTATAATCAATTGTATTTTCAGATTTGAGATGAAGGAGATTTAATCCACTGATGTAAAAGGAGAATACCAAATGATACAGGAAATCGCATAAGTTATGATTCTTATGAATGTCATGGGCCCCATAAACCATGGTGGTTTCTGGAACTCGCCCCCAAAACCCGCCCCAATTCGATTTTGCGGTTTTTTGGTTTGGGGCAGTCTACACTCGTTTAACCTTCTCAATTGATAAACAGCCACCAAAACCCGTGGACTCCAGTGGCTTGCCCTCCCGCTTACTCCGTCATGGGCTAAAATCCCCTGACATCAGAGTACATGGGCGGAATACTCTTGGCAAAGTTGCGTTGTAGAGGCCCCCAAAGAACTTTGCGGACTAATCTATATCGATGCCTAGTTCGCGCCCCCTCCAGTGATTGATGCGTCCCAGGTCAAGTTTCCACTGCAATCATGCATTTTACGGGCAGTACCGTGCGGATGTACAAATTCAAAGTACATCAGGTGGATCTTCGACTTCTGGACGAGATCAAATCCAATGAGGGGAAATTGCCTAATCAGTCTAGAATACGGGCAGAAATCTTGACGCGAGTAGATCCCTGTAGAGGTGGTTGAATCCCAGCATTGAGCAATGCATTGTTTCCACCAACCAAACGGCAAGATGTCGATGTTCCTACGCTAGATGTCGGTCTATATAGTCGCAACTTCATCAATAGCCGTAGGGAGAAACGAGTTAGTGAAGCCAGAATCATTCCCCTCATTCCTGCACGGTTTGTGGCAATGTGGTATTGATAGCCAAAGTTACTACAGTGATATTCGAAATCAGTTTTACCTGCTATCTCTCTCTCTTTGACCTCAAATGCACTGGTCTGCATTGGGAATTATATCCTCTGCCTTAGGTTTAACCATGCATCTTCAATAGATCAGCATGAACTACAGTAAGTTTCCATAAAATCTCGTACGACGTTCTACCAAGTTGGACTATTGTAGAACTCTATCAAACCCTGATTTTAAGGCTATAAAGCCTCACAGAGCTATTGATAGCAAACCTAATGGTACTAACTACTTACTACGGAGTAGTGATGATCAAATATCTTCCTTGTGTTACTTTATGATGTGTCTTACATGAAGCACTAGCATAATTGTGGTAGGAATTAAATCAAGCTGAGGCGCACTTAGCACTGGTATCACCGGAATCCTTGGCACCTTGGGACGGGAACCTATGTAATCTTATACGAGCGAGGGCTGAGAGGGTAGATATCGAACGGCATTTCCAAAAGAGGAAAACGCATTTTGTCATCTAGCTCTCAGATCTTGCCCAGCTCTTCTTGGACTCCATCCGGTTCAGGCCGATCCTGTCGATCCCGTAATACGGTGGAGAGGAGAAAATTGATAGAGGCCAAAAACCGATTCATAATGATATCTATAAATTGGCACTATTACCTTGAAATATTTAGAAAAGTAGTGGCTATATCGGTTTTAAACCTAGTGAAAATCGGCATTTTGTGTCGAGAAAGCATACACTATCAATTACTGCTCCGATTCAACCTCCATCATGCGTTTTATTTCGGGACTGTTAGGCATATTTGGTTTGTTCTTCACTTTTTATGCTATGCCGTGAGACTTATAGCTAATGGTTGTGTGTATCAAGCGGCAACAGTGAGCGCACTGCCACAGACCGTGCCAGAGGCGTTCTCATGGGAGGAGACGTGCTCAGGCATCGGAACCAAATCCCAGGAAAACTGGAAGAAAGGTGGATTTGGCGAATGGTTCTCCGTTACGTACGGTTCTTCTCTCCTCAATCTGGGCGAGGAATACTAGGGCTTTGTATCTGACAAATATTCTAGGGCATCTGTGGAAGGAATCTACACCCAGGATATCCAAAAGACAATTCAGTCTTGGGAATCGGATGGCCAGAGTAGCATTTATGGCTTTTATTGTTCCCCAATGAGCCACTGTGAAGCAAACCTCGATAAGGATCAATGTCTCGACCCAGAGCATCCCATCCGACCTGCGCTGTATTTTGTGATGTGGTCAATCGCTAACTTGAACAATTGGATGGATTCTTTATTGACTGCAGTGGACCACACAGCTGGTATAGCTGACGCTCGGGCTGCTGATTTGGTTAATACTTTTGCCACAAATATGGAGAACATCGTGAGTGAATGTCCATCTCACTTTCAGAGTCACACCTATCTCACTAACTGAATCCCCAGCCTCTCGTCAATGCCGGTCCTGCCCTGGCTGCCGGTTTCTTAGGAAGTCTTGCTTCAATTTTTCCGCCCGCCGCCGTAGCTGGAGGCTTTGCTTCAGGTCTTGCGACCATCGGAGCTGGCCTTCTCTCTGTTACTAGTAATAGTAAGCCGGTTGAGTTGTACGTGGAGCTCAATCGAACCGAGTATGTTCTATCCTAGGTCATACTAATATGTCTCATTCTCTCATATAGGGAACCCAAATTCAACGACTTTACCGATATCACTACGTATATCGCTAAGGCCTCGGAGGGGATGCAAAAGAGCATTGAGACATATACCCAATGGCTTCTAACAAGTATCCCATCTAATGACCGTGATAATGGCATCAATTACATCTATGATCCTAAATCCCTCCCAAACGTCCTTCTGGATGGTGATTTCGCCGAGCCCAGAATCTCGGATGTCCTCCCAGACGGTATCTACGTCTCCCTATTCAGCGCCGCGGTCGCCCTTCTGTGGAAAGAAGAAGGCGCGAGGGTCGTCAAAATTAGCCACGAGCTTCCTACCTTAAGCAAACTTGTCTGTGATCATGAGAAGGTCATGTATGGAAACAAGTGGTGCGACAGTGAAGGGAACGCCTACATTCTACTCGGCTGGGATAATACCTATTTCAGGACCCCCTGGGACCAGGCTGCGACGGAAAATCTCCAGGATCTCAAAGGCATTGACAAGCTTCAGGAGTACAGACTAAGCATCGAAATTGTTTCCACGGCATCCGAGTATGCGAGCTTGCTGAACGGTGGTCGTTCATACTATGAATGGAATACTGCCAGAGTCATTGAACACATGAATCAAGATGAAAAGAATATGGCGAAGTTTTCTGGCTTCAACCTGCCCTTCTGTAACATTGCCCCTTCTGCCTATGACGTTGGGGGTGAGGTTCTTCTTGATATGGCTGAATGCGATGAACAGGTAAGAAAAGACACTTCACTTTCTTTTTGTGCTACTAACAGTGACTTGCAGTGTCAAATTATTTGGGCCATGCGGAATTGCTTCCAGGGAGAAGACCCGGAACATCCTGGGCTCGGACTCTTTTTCATAGATGACTTTGGATACGAGTATCCCATCACTCCATGTATACCGGGGCATCAGTGTTGATGGGAGCTCAGAATGTGTAGCATGAGCTAGGACTGGATAGGAAGGTGACATGAATTGAATATATAGTAGTGAACGAAAACCAATAAGTCCCCGACTCCCCACGTATGCAAAGAAGACCTTTCAGAAGTGGTTCGTCACTATAACCCTTTATCTCTCCTTGGCTGTCTATACCGCTTTTATTTGGCGAGTAGTTAGAGTATATAAACAAGAATAAAAAAGAAAGCTGTAAAGTGGGAGGAACCAGGGTTTCCACGGATTTCTGGAAGGAATAATTATCTGAGACCAAGCCATCTTTATCAATGGCCCCAACATATTTCAAAAGTACCTGGGGTATGCCCAATCAACAGCAGTTCAACGTGAGTTAAAACACATCTAGCAGGGGTCTCACTATACGCGGCTCACAAGCGACCTGGGGTAGTGTCTTTGTAGATGACTATATTGTGACTTGAATATTATGTTGAGAAGATGGTGTTGCAAATTTCTAGGAATGTTCACATTTGTTCCATCCGTTCTTCCCAGGCAACGCCAGAATTCGCGTACCACTCATATATAGATTCTCATCATCGCAGATAACCCTACGCTTCTGGGTGACAGCGTATTGGGGCGCTAAACCAAGGCAAAACTAACCCGATACAGTATCTAATTCACAGGGCCGTTTACAAGACAAAATTCATCTCTATTCTCAATGCTACATTTGAAATGAATACTACGATGTCTCTTCCCTGATTTTATAGCTTAAAATATGAAAGAAAACCCTGAACCGTACAAATGAGCTTTCTATGTATATATAACCGGGGAAGTTCAATGTAAGCTGGGGAAAATGATGTATTGTACATAATCAAATGAAAAAAAAAAAAAAAAAAAACAGGATATATAAGTACAAGCTAAAATTACACAATCACTGTACATGGAGCATGCTGCTCAAGAGTCGTTGCTCGGTTCTTCCTTGTGCGTCCAGGGTCCCTTGTATCTGTTTCGCACATGGTCTCGTTCTTTTCCTGTCCGGCCAGCTTTCACATGGAGCCCAGAAATGGGCTTGAAGAGAGACTGGATTGGAGTATCCGACGTGTACTTCCGATTATCCTTGTCGAACAGTTTCCGCTCGGGAGTTGGCCTCTTGATGCCGATATCTTGTAATTTGCGCAAACGTCGCTTGTAAGCGTCGGCGCGCGGGATATTTCCTCCTTCAAGCTCATCAGCGATAACCTTTTTGTAATGCTCGGCTTTTTCCTTCCACTCTGTTGTCACAGTGTAATGATCGTGAAACGTGGTTTCCAGGTCAATTCGGTCTGCGCGAGGAAGGATCTCCACCAAAGAGCCCAAGTCTCCTAGTTGTTCACTGGAGACCAAGCCAGTCAGACTCGACTCGTTGCCGAAAGGCTCGAGGTTTTGTTTTTCCTCCAACCTGAGAGGCTCCTGACTCGCGTCATCAAAGCTGCGTTCTTTTGGTCTGTGGGGGCCAAGAACAGGGCCAAGAGCACCAGAGTGCGTGGAGAGCAGAAGGGCCGGGCGTGGGGAGATATCGGCTTCTACCGCTTTGCCGCGAAGGATTGTACCCTGATATTTGTCAGGCACGTATGGCATCGCGGCAAGGGCATCAACCGTCTTTGGTGCCATTTCGTAGAGATTCGCCAGCTCCTCATTCCCCTCGATAATACTTTTTTGCCGGAGCCGTTGCAGTGCGCTGGCTAGTTGCACCATGGTGGGGTAATTGGGGTGCATATAATCGGGCTCGATTTTACGCCAATGCTTTCGGGCCAATTTTCCCATCATCCTGCGGGGCTTGGTAGCACCCGAGCGACCTTCGAGATGGAGGAGTGTCACGGGGGCATTCATGGGTCTCACGCCGTATCCCTTGAGAAACCACGACCAACCAGGGAAATGTGCAATGAACTTCTCTTCGAACAGTCGAAATGCCTCCACATTGTCGAGATAATTATCAGATGTCGCAAGCATCTTAACATAAGTTGACCAGTTGATACCAGTCAATGCAAAGCCTGTTGCCTGAACTTCGGCCACAACTTGATGTATTCTCTCGAACATGCCTCGGCGCGCCAACGACTGCATGTAAAGCGAAAGTGGATAGTCCAGAATGAACCGTTGGGCATGAATTATTTTTGGCTTCTCTGTTTGGGTGGTGGGTATCGCAAGCATTGAGGGGAGAGGGGACTCGACTGGCGCAGGCGGGGTGGACATTGGCGACCGTTCAGAAAGGAAATTCTCAAGGTCAGAGGTACCGGCGTGTTTGCTTATACCTGCCATAATGCTGTTCCAGCACTCTTCCACTTTCTCGTACTTGTGGGTTTCTAGGTAGGCATTCATGATGGCTTTGATGAAGCCAATCGGTAAGGAGTCTAATTCATCGCCGTCCGATGATCCTGCAGTTCGTCTGACTTGCATGTAATGAGCGAAAGTTTGGAGTGCCTTTTCGGGGGCACCTTGGATGCCGTATGCCTCGACCAGCCGTTGATAGTGCGTGGCAGTGAAAGACTCAACAACAAATCCCTCTGACGTTGACTCGTTCACTGCCAATCCCTCTGACGGGGTAGATAATAAAGTGTTGGATAATCGAGTGCGGACTGGCGATGGATTGGCATTGAAATTTGCGATTGATTCAGAAAGTGTCTTTTCTGCGTTTTCCAAGACGATATCTTCAACGGGAGTTTGAAGATCTTTTGCGTTCTCCACGTCTCTCAGAATCTGCATTCTCAGGTTTAACAGGCTCCCCTCCATTCCGACTCGACCGAAGCGTGCTTGCATTTCGCGGGAGATTATGTGCACCATATCGCGGTTCCGTTGCTTCACATATCCAAGCAAGAGAATGGAATAATGGTACTCGGTGGGTTCAAAACCAGCATTGTACATCTTTTTGAGAGTAGTTCGCGCACGATCAACTTGCATGGCATACACATAAGCAAGCATAACAGCCGCATAAGTCATGTCGTCCGGTTTCAACCCTAGCTGTCCCATGCGGTCAAGGACGCGCCGGAAGGAAAACTTGGATACCCTGAATGCATATCGCATTAGAAGAAAATTCCACATTCGCAAGGGAGACCCTCCCACCGCTATATCCCAGCTGCTTTCGACAAGCTCCTGGGCATAACCCAATTTCCCATTTTTGCAATACGCCTGAACAGCCGCATCAATCATTGGCCTCGTGATTTGTACTCCACTCGTCTGGGCCTCTTTGAGCAATTGACGGATAGCTTCGACGTCGCCTCGCTTGGCAAAAATCCCCATCAGTGTGCCAAATGTGTACGAGTCGGGAGGTACACGGTTTTCTCGCATTTCCGAGAAGGTAGACATGGCACCTGATAAATCCCCAGCGGTAGCATACGCCAGGAGCAGTATATTCCAGCAAATGGTGTTTACCGGAATACCAAACTCAGTAGGAATTCGATCGAATTGCCGCCGTGTCTCGCCCACATCACCTAGCCGCGCGTGAACGGCAAGAAGGGGAGTCACCGATCTTGCGCTCTTCGGGTGGCCATGATCTGCCAGGAACCTATCAAACAGGCGTCGGACAGTTTGTACATCCCCAATCCTGGAAAAAGCACCCATTGCGTCATTGTATGAGGTGATGCATGGTCTTTTATCTTCATCAAAGCGCGCCTCTTCGTCCAAGAAGTACGGCATGCTGTCAGTCATCCCGAATTCCAACAAGCGTTGAGTGATAGCGCGAATCATCCTCGCGTCTACCTTTGCATCCGGTGAATCCAAACGCAATTGGCGATAAACAAGAAGGCACTTGACGAATTCCGACCGTTGTTTTGAAAATAGGAACACACTCGCCACACTGAGATAGTGTTTATTTTCCACAAGACCCAAAGAATGGTATCCTTGCAACAGTGGAAGCATAGTTGGGATGGGTGTGAGTTTGACCAAGTGTTCAGACTTGACAAATCGCTCAACCAGACGACGAAGAAAGTCCCTCCTTGCATCCAACTTTGCAGCAGTAACCCTCTTGAAATCGTCCGAGAAGGTCATCTTAAAAGCAAGGAGATGCCTGGAAAGGGAATTCCCAGGAAAGTGATGATGATCAATTCGATCCAGTAAAGAGGACAATAACGGTCGCTCGTTTTCAGGGATATCCAATAGGGACCTCCAGAGTGAGGCAATTTTGACCCACTGTCTGTTTTCCACCATGTGCATCAAGCATATCGAGATGATATTTTGGGCAAATGGCATGGAAATGGCTTGCTGGCATATTTTTTCCAAATGAAAAGGCTTTTGAGCGGGTAAGGAAAGAAGCTGTGATCTTATAATGTTCTTGAAGTCTATTTCGGTGCGATCTTCAGGCGGAATTTCGTTGAATAGTGTCCATGCTCGTTTTCGTTCCTTTTCTTTGGACGATTTACTGATATAAGCACAGAGTGCAGGATGGACTTTCGACGGGGATCCAGCGGCGACGTACAGCACCCAAGCTTTATCAAATTCGCTGCCATTCTTCTGAAGGAAAGCCTGGAGGGACGCGCTCGCTTTCCCGTCCTTATCGGGAGATTCCAGATGTTGAGGCTTCTGGGCCAGCTTGGATACACCTTCGTGGGTGGATAAAGCCGTTGATGCAGCTTGGCGAAGACTTGAAATGGAAACATAAGATCTTGAAAAGCCCAAGTGTGATCTCCTCTGAAATCCAGTCCTGTTTTGGGAGCGAGACAGACGCGAAGCTCCCAGAGCTTGAGCCTGCCGAGGGTATAAGAATTCGAACAATGGCGTTATCTCATCGCTTGACTCTCTGCTTTCGTGTTCGGTGCTAAGAACGGGGGACGATCGTTGACCTGACGCCTGCAAAAGCGCGATAAACCACTGAGGAGCATCTGCTCTAGCGCCATTGTGCTTCCAAAAATGACCAGACAGACAGCGTGGGTTTTGGATCATGCCATTGGAATCTCGAAGGAAACGTCGTCCCGCGTTCTCGAGAGATCCTGTTGCACGTTCGAGCATCACCCCCAAATCGTAATTTGAAGTCGTAAGATGCCCTTATTCTTTCTTGACATGTG